AAAGATCGGCGACGTAAACACCTGCGCGTATCTGAAGATCACGTGACCATCCCGCCAAGGTAAAGCACTCTCGTAGTTGTAGCATGCGACCAATCAGGCAACTCCGACAACATCGCCAAACAAATTCCAACGCCGATATTCAGCCAAGGCCAATTCACTGCAGGAGGCGTCGCAAGCATAAATCGCGGACACATCCGCGTTCTCTTAACAATCTTTAGCGCTGACCAAGAACATCTTGCGAGAGGTATGGCGGTCGCACACGTGGAAGAGCTTAGTGAGGTCGCAGGCTGTTTGAATGTGCAGAAAGCCGATGGCACCGGACCAACACTTGTATTCGTCGATGTTGGTCCGAATGTGCTTCCCACTCAGAAGCAAAGGCTCCTGAAGAGGAATAATGAGTTTAAGGACGGTTGTTGACGTCTGCAGTTCTCCAAATGCTCTTTAGAAAACATCGCATCAATACAGATGAAAAGGCCGCACCCGACTATACGGCTGCACCCATACTAAGTAGCTCTGTGGTAATGTATGGCCGTAGATTGAGGTGCGATAGATGCTTCACGATGACGTTATTATTCTGTCGAAGAGTCTTTGGCCATAGCCGGTAGTATTGGCAAAAACATAAGACGGCACTTACGTTTCTGTGGTGATTACCACAAGCGAAATTGGGTTACGAAAGAGAACGTTTACCCGATAGCTCGTATGGAAGATTCCCTCAATCGACTATGCTATGCACGTTATTTCTCGTCAATGAATTTACGAAGTGTATATAGGCAAATAGAAATTAACGAAGGGATCGAGAAAAAACAGCCTTCGTGACACACGATGATCTTTACAAGTTGAATGCACTCCCTTTCGGCTTGTGCTCGGCACCGGCAACGTTTTAGCCACTCATGAACACTGCCCTATCAAACCACAAGTGGCACACATGCCTGGTATATTCGTACTCTGTCTGCGTATTTTCAGCGAAAATTGACGAGAACTTGAAGCGACTACAACAGTTTTCAAGCAATACGATAGGCTGGACTAACGGTTAAACCAGAACAATGTCAGTATGGCTTCGAAGAGCTTCTTTTCTTGGGGCATCTTGTGAGCAGTGAAGGTGTGCGGCCTGACCCAACAGAATAGCCGCCATCGCAAGTTTCCCCACGCCATCCGACAAAAAGGCAGTGAGACAATTCTTAGGTCTCTACGCCTATTACTCATGCTTCACTGAGAATTTTTCACGTATTGCCTTAACTGTGACACGTCAACCGAGAAGACGTTGAATTCGTGTGTTGTGATAAACAGAAGGCCGCCTTCAACAAGCTGCGGCAACGTCTTCACAGTCTGCCAGTTCTCGGACCCCTTGACGGTGACGCTCCGACAGTAGTTCAGAACAACGCCAGTAATGTTGTCTTAGGAGCTGTGGTTGTGCAGAAAGATGGCACTGAACGATTAATTGCTTATGCAAGTACAACACTGTTTTTACAAAGGAGATTTACTCAACCATAAAAAAAGAGTGTCTTACGGTGATGTGAGTGGTTATAAAGTCTCGTTCATAGTTTTAGGCCTGCCCAATCAAAGTTATTATTAGTCACAACTCTTTTTGTTTGTTGACAAACTTCAAGAACCCGTGAGGTCGCTGGGCACTCTATACGACCAGAGTTTACATATCGAAAAAGCAACATAGAGATGATGACTGCCTTTCTGATGACTGCCCATTGTAACACAAATGCCGAAGATGACGACGACACAGCGTTAGTCTGTGTAGTCAACATGCCTACAATTGCACAGCAGCAAGGCGACGACACCCAGTGGTAATCCATTTATTTCTTGGAAGGACGCACATCCTCATACCAAAGACCTTCGCAAGAACACTTGCATAGTTTTGATCGCACAATAAGGTCTCATATAAGGCGAACTTCCAACGGAAACACCAACTTAGTCCCCGTCCCAGTCCCAATAACCTAAAGGAGAATTCTGCAGGCATTCCATGATGAAGCAACGTCTGATCATTTAGGTTACACACAAACGCTATGTCGAGTGTTAAAAAAGTACAACCGGCCATGACTGAAAGCAACCGTTAAACCGTACGTTCGGACTTGCCTTGAGTGCCAACTTAGGAAAGGGTCAGTCGTCAAAGCAGCGTGACTCCCACGTCCTATAGATGTCCCGGAAACTTCATTCACTAATGTCAGAATGGATATCTTAAAACCATTTTCAACATCGGCTGCTGGCCGGAGATAGACATTTGCAGCCGCAGACTACCTCATTCTCTACGCCGAAACCAAGGATCTGGAGCGGGGGCACGGCAAGTGAGGCAGCCCTGTTTTTATTGAGAATTTAGTTCGGAGGCATGGCGCTCCATCTGTAATAAGAACGGACAGGAGAATAGCATTCACAGCCAAGCTGTTACCCGCAGTTTTAAGTCTTAGTGGAACTTGTCACCGGCGTACAATGGCATGTAATTCACTCACAAATGGTCTGAAAGAGCGACTGAACAAAACACTTTCGGATATGCTTTGCATGTACGCCGAAGTGAAGCATATAGACTGAGATGGGATACTCGCTTATGTCACTTCCACTTACACTACGGCGCATAAAGATCTAGCAAGCATCACCCAATTTCGCTTTTTCTATAGCCGTGAAGTCACAACAATGCTCGACGCTATGTCGCAGCAGGAAAGCGACGGCGTTGAAACATGTGCTGACTACATAACTATGCTTGCCGAAAAAACCCGACAACTGGCCCACACACGTATTCCTCGCCAAAAAGACTGCAACACAAGGCGTTATATCCTAAATTACTGAACAGCCTTCTATGATCCGGAAAAGAGAGTTTGAGTCTGGGCACATTTCGTCGTCGTGGCCTCTCAGAGAGGCACTTAAGGCGATACTTCGGTCTGCATCAAGCGCTTCGTCATCGCAGTTACGTAACTATGAGGTTCTTTCCGACAGCTCACACTGTTCAAACAATCAAAAACATGCACCAGGTGTTGTGCACGTGGTTTGGATGAAGCCCTACTTGTCCGAATGAACTCCTGACCTGGCAGTGACAAAATTCTGCCGCCATCACGAATGAAGCATTAAGACGATGTTTTTTTGGAAGGCAGGCTCATCTCACGATTAATAGCCGGCAACGCAACAGGGGAGAAAAAAGCGAGCAACTGCACGAGCAGCAGTTTCTGGCTCTCTGTCGAAGATGACGGGGGGGTGTCTGCACTTATGTTCGAATCAAGCTTTATCTATTCTCGTCACAACGAAGTCTTGTGCATTGCTGTTTCTACGTTGCGACAATATGATGTAGTGACCGCTGGCAAGGCTGAAGTGAGTCATGCTTATCTCATCTAGAGGCTTGAGGAGTTCATGCTGCAGAAACTCAAAAAGGAACCATGTAAAAATCGAGTTTCGAGAGAGAGAGAGAGTTCTCAGAGTCGTATTCGTTGCAGGTGACAAAACTATCACTCACATTTGAATGGCAATGCGCAAGGCTATGTGTCTGACAGCACTACTTGTTCTCCAGTAAAGTAGATGCAGTGCTGAAAACAACAATTGGTTGGCAAGAACGTCTATTCAGTGTAGTGCAGTTTGGCGTCCTGGGCTCGATGTAACCTAGGCTCCGCATAGCAGGCCTGACTGTGGCCAAAACTTCGACACATAGATTTGACCTGCACACTTGAGAATTTTAGAATTTTAAGGAGATGAATTTTATATAAACGGAACTTGTGCAGATAACATAGCGCTCAAGTAATCCTGATAAATGCTTTGACAATGGGAGCTTGACTACTTAGTGGTGTGACTTAGAGGGTAAAGTGGAGACATCTCGCACTTTACAGCTACCACGGCCAAGAGTGTTCATTTTCCCTATACTATTTCTCGTTTTAAAGTACTCAGTCAACTAAGCGGAACGCCTACGTTATTAGACAGCAAGCTGTGCATGTTTAGCCACATCGCGATAACGACGAAGACGAAAGAGGGCAGAACAGACAAGGAAGAGTGCTATCGAGCCCGTACGAGCGAGCTTTCATGTCAAAAATTACAAAGCGTGACATAATCTGTGTAACAGCGAGGGCTTTGTTTAAGATATCTGCTGTTAGTGGCAGCAGTTTATATTTTTAAATTCAAAAATTAAAAAAAAACAATGAAGGAGACTGTAAGTTTCAAGTTGTATGCCGAGAAAGTCTCTGTCCGTTCAGACGGGGTCGGTCAGAATAGAACACGATGCTTGCGTCTCTTTTCTTGCATGAGTTGGCAGATATTTTTGGTGGGTTAACGCAGACATGCATGTTCGTACGAGTCATCCGACTAACTAGACTGCTGCGATGGGACGTCCGACAAAGGAGCGTTGCCAAATCACGCTGCTGTGCAATCACGTGTTTGCCGAGGGCGTTTGAGGAGAAGAAATTCTTAATAATCTTATCGTTCAAGCCTTCCGTACAGATGATTTGCCAGTGAAGCGAAAACAATGCGGCGCTGGTACTTATCACTGGCTGTCATATATTAAAGGGCCTTGTTTTGAAGGTTTTGATTTTTATGAATATTTTAGGATATGTGCGCTTTTTAGTTTGTAAAAGAGGACGTTAGCCTAAATCATATTAGACACACCTAAAGACCTCTCAAGGTTTGACGTTTCATGCTCCGCTTGGTATCATCCCCTGGTACATGTGCTGCGAACCGGAGGTTTAGCTAGTGCAGGTGCTTACACCCTTAGAGGTAGCGTAGGCCAGCATCCGGGGCACGAACAAATTAAGCCGGTCTCCATGAATGTGAGACATTGAATTTATTCACCTTAACACAAGTAGTAGGTTGGTTGCCTAAAACAACCGTTCTTTGTTCCTCAACATCTCATAGGAACGTGTCAGCCGTTTCGTCTAGCGGAAGTTTTGTCTGATGCGACGTGCAGTTGGTACAGAAAACTGCACGCTATCTTATCATTGCTGACTATCTTACCTTATCTTTGCACGCTATCTTATATTTGCTTGAACAATTTTCCTGGTTTAATTACGAAGTTTGCTCTGCAGGAATTTTAGCACTGGAACGTCGTGATGCGATATCAGCTCGTTATTACCCCACCAGGAACTCTGCGTGAGTATGATTTACTTCTCGATACACATAGCCAGGAAAACTTCCCGATTAAGTGCAACACTATACGAACAAGAAGACTAGGAATGTATAAAATATGTTGTTTGTAGTCGTTATCATACAATAAAAAGTAGATGCACGAAATGATTTATTGTCGCTGGCAAAAAGCCCACCTGTGAACTTTCAATAATGCGTCCAAGGCATTCCCAGCTGAGCATAATACAAATAACTTCATGATGAAACCAGAGCCACTAAGTACGAAAGCACAGAATTGACACAAAACGAGTGCTTACTACGAAATGGAATTTTATTTTACTACGAACACTCTTATATATGTATACACGCAC